TATATATATATATAAATATAAATATAAATAAATATATAAATATATAAATATATAAATATATAAATATATAAATATATAAATATATAAATATATAAATATATAAATATATAAATAAATAAATAAATATATATATATATATATATATATATATTTATGATCGTATTATTATAAAATTTCTCATTATTTAAACAAAGAATAGATAATTATAAATTATATACTTATCTAATTTTATTCGGTGGGGTTCTTATCGGTATATTTGGTTCTTAATTATTACTATTATTATTAGTATTATTTCTTAATAGAAAACACCAATAAAAGCTTCTATATTCTTTATCTAATTAATAGAAATGAAACTTGAAAAACTATATATTTCGAAATATAACATTTTTTGCAAAACTATATATACATATTTTTCATATTTTTATATTATTTCTATCATTTATTTTAGCAATTTAGATTTTTTGCTTTTGAATATAATATGAAGACTTTTTATATTAGAAAGAAATGAGAAATATTCAAGGTAACTCTTAATATTATAATTGATCTATTAAAAAAGAATGCCGAATCTATATAAATATATCAAACCATTTCTTTATATTCTTCAAATTTTTATACTAGAGCTCAGCCGGCAAGACGTGACTTGGGAAGGTCGCATGAATCAACAGATTATGATGGTATTCCGCCGACGAAGCCTCTCTGGCTCCAGCTTTCGAGGGGTGGAGGCAATAACTAGTATCTACTTGTAGCATGCGCGCCGCTTCACCCGCCTTCATGGTGACCCCGCGAACTCGGGAGGGGAGGACTGTGGCTCGGCGCTCAGCGAACTACTTCAGATTCCTGCCCGCCTCCCTCTCCGACATTTCAGGTGAGCCGCGAGGTCAGTTTGTGCCCCAGACTAGTGCTGCACAGGGCCTCGGAGGGGGACTTCACGAGCCTGGTGCGGAAATACGTGCGCGCACTCAGGTCCAGCGCGGGTTCTGCCTTGGCCTCGGCATTGCAATCGGGCTGATCTTCCCAAACGCTCGGCGTCTCAAGCTCGGAACTCGAGATGACGATTTCTGCAAGCGCGCCCTCGAGGCCACCTGTCTTTGTCAAGACGCAGACGGGAGCGGTCGTGACACAGGTCCGGTAGACGCCAGAACCATCATGAATCTCTTACTTCCCTCGAATCTTGTGCTATTGATGCTTTACGTCTGCATGTGATGTGACACTGACTATGAGCCAGGTCACCCAGGAAAGCTTCCTGGCTGCAGGGATCGTCGGAGCTTGCGTCATCTTTGGTAGATGCGAGAGTCGATTCATTTCTTGTATACGACCCGTTGCTCAGTTGATGGTGTCCGTCGGGTGACGAAATTGAATCCCCGTCTTCCGCCAGCCCCTGTTTCGGCCGGGGGCTTCGCCTCTCAGCAGAAGAGCTCTGAACGCATCGCCGCTGGAGCTCCGCGGCTCTGCCGTTAGTCGCTAGTCAGGTGCAGTCCCCATACACCGTGCCAGGGCATGTGCCGACCTTATCAATATCGACTCACCTTGCATCGGGCTGTCCTCCTGGGTTCCGCAACTCCATGGAGAATTCTGTCGACAGAGGTGCCAGCCCGGAGCGGGTTGCCGTTTGCAACACCGCCCCGCGTTCCAGCCTCAACCGACTTTTCCATCCTGCAAGCACAGATAAACATGAGCATCCGTCAAAATTTTCTGTAATTGTAGTTACGGGTAGGGCAGCCGTGGAATGCCGGATCTTGGAAATATCTTTGGAAAGCGTTACTCCAAAAGCGATACGATTATTAAAGATTATTTATTGCGATATGTCAGTGCCGCGACATATATGCCTTCATTTTCCGTGTGATATATGGCTAGGCAGTCGATTCCCCAATCGATATCCAATCTATACCCTAATCGATACCCATTAATTCGTTTCGTGACTCACTGCCCAGTCTGATGGAAAAAGGGTAGTATAGGGCAGCTCAAGGGCAGAAAAGGGCAATAAAGAGGGCAGGAAATGGCAGGAAAGGGCAATGAAGGGCAGCACAGGGCAATAAAGGGCAGGGCAATAAAAAGGACAGGTCAAGGATAGTAAAGGGCAGTATAGGGCAGATAAAGGGCATTAAGAGTAAGTAAATAGCAGTAAAGCAAAGGGCAATAAAGGGCAGGGTAAGCTATGACAGCTACAAATAGGATCAGTGAGGCTGATGGCCTTCTTATTTTCAGAAAAGCAAAGCGATATTTCATAGAAATATATGACGAAATCCTTGTAAAGCGATAGGACCCCCCAAATCATCCATGGTCTGACCATGAATAAGAAAATTTTGACGAACGCTCATACATACATATATATATATATATTCATATACATATACATACATTATACGCTCTATATATATATATATATACACATATCCACTTGATCTCCATGCTACATGACGAGGCTCAACCCAGTATATCTGCACACACATGCATACCCGTGATGTACGAGTATTGCGGCTCTGAGGTCAGGGCTGCAGATCTCCACGCGCGAGCCACGCTCCGACTGGGATTTGTTGAGTATTATGGATATGGCACCTATCGGTATTCCGGATGTCCTGCGATCTGTGCAGTGCTCTCAGGCAGCGAGCTCGCAGCGCTTTGAAACCCCGCCGAAGGCCTGTGCTTCTGAGTTGACTGCCTGATCAGCGAGCTTCGACAAAGCGAGGTGGCAAGGCCCCCTCCGTGGTCATCCTCTCCGCTGGAACCAAGTCCCGGCACGTCTGAGCCGAGGCCTCGCATGCACATAACCCAAACGGATCCGAAGTTGAGGTAATTTGTTGTCAAGGAGGTTTCCCTGCTCAGGTCACTTCCAACGCTCCTGGCTGCAAAGGCAATTGGCCAGGACCGTCGTAATATCATTCTCTTTGCCTTTTCCTCTCTGCTCTCTGCCCTGCTGCTTTCGCAAACATGCTTGCTTTTTCCTTCTCCTGGGGAGCTCATAGGAAGGTTGACTCCTGCCTCTTCGTCTGTTTTCAGGATGCGCCAGTGCTGGCATCAAAGGCGCGCCGCTGCTTACAACTGTTATGGCTGGTAAGACTGATTTGCTGCCTGATCCGTTGCAGCATGAGTCGAACGAAGAGCAGTGTTGGGCCCTTGATTTTGAGGAGCCAGAGCCTACTCGTCCGACGGAGCAGGCGGGTCACTTGCACCTGGCTTCGGAATCGTATTTGTGCGGGCGATTTCTAGCAACAGAATGGTGTCTGCAGGCCTCCTCATCAGAGACGACGGCTTGTGAGGCAAGGGACCGCTTGGAAGAATGACACGGCTAGCAGGTGCAAGAGGCTTTGAGGGCTTCATTATAGATGTCAGACGTCGCCCGTCGTCGCACTGCAACACATGGTGCACCCCGCCAGGATGCTCCGACACTGCGGCCAGCCAACGTGTTGGTCCTGCAGGCCCTCGGCTTTGCGCGTCCTGTCTATGCTTTCATTTCATGCGGCCGTGTGTAGCCGGGGACTTCAGTGCGATATAATGCAGCCAAAGCCGGTGAGGAGCAGCAAGATGACCAGGCAGCTCCGGCGAAGGACGTGTCCTCTCGCCTGGGGGCATCTTATTTCAGGTCTGCACAGTTTGCCAGGCATGATGGGTCAGTGCCGGTTGCGATGGTCGAGGGCATAGGCAGATCTCTGCCGTGCGCGGTGACTCGAGGAGCCGCCATCCGAGAAGCAGCGTTGCCTTGAGGCTTCGTTGCATCTGTCGGATCTCCAGAGGGGAAGGCGGCGGCCGTTGTGGCTGATGCCAGGCCGCGGTAGAGAACCATGCAAAGGCCATGCAGGCCGGGGCAGCCCGCGCCATATTTTCGTTTGCCTTTGTTGACCTCGACCGTGCAATACTGACCCAAGAGCAGCTTTCCGTCCAGTGAACTGTGTAAGACTCTGCGGCTGCTTGCTATCAATGATCTCTCTTGTGCGATATGGGGCATGACTTGCTTCATTGCTCCATGATGAAATATAACGAAGGAAGAGGTTTCGGCTAAACCAGGATCAAGTCTTGATAAATGCTCTGCGCGGTGTCGAAGTTGTAGAGCTAGGATCTAGGGTCCGTTCGTTCGACTTTTCTGCGTGCTGTCTAGAAATTGCTCTTTGCATTATGCGGCACGATCTGCCATCGCCTATCATCCCCTCATGGATTCATGAGTGCAGTGCGACGATGCGTCACACTTCCGCATATTGAAGAAGCCTCTTCGGCGCACTCCAACCGCTAACCCACATGGTGTATCAGCTGCCACCAAACCACACGCCCCATCAGATAATTGAGCAACCTTCTAAAAGCCGCCCCCAAATCCCCCAACCATCCCCAACCACAGGCCCCATTAGAGCAAGCGGTCCGAAAATCATGCTCCCTGTCAGCATAAGCATGGCCCCAACCCATATCGACGCCCCTATCAGTGCAAGAAGCAACCTGCACTCCAAAAGCCTCTTCCTAACCCCCGAATCTCACGCCCCATCAGCGTAGCAAATTTCGCCCCAAAGCCGCCCAAATTCGCCTCATCCATCAGCGCAAGCAGCCTACACCTCAAAAGCCGGGCTCAACCGCCGACACACAGCCCCATCACCGTAATGGCAAGCAACCTGCGCCCCAAAAAACCGCCCCCCAACCTACTAACCACACGCCCCTTTAGCGAAAGCAACCTCCGCCCCAACCAAGCGAAAGGGGGTTGCCAGACCAGGAAAGTGGGTTTTTGGCAAACCCGAGTTTCGAAATCTGGTCCCATCTCCCCGACGTCAGCCTAAGCACGCGAAAACGTTACCCCAGGGGACCGTACAAGTTGGGGTTTTGGGACCAGCAGCGAAACTATTAGCCCAATACTAGGTTTCCCTCTCCTTCTGCACTCAGAACCCAGTCCCGGCTGATGCTGCGTCTCCAGACCTTTTGCTAGATTTCGAAAGGTGCTATAGCACTGATTGGATGCATCTTGTATAGTTGTGAAATGCTTGCCACGGTGTCGAAGTCGTCGAGCTGGGATCGAGGGTGCGTTCGTGCGCTCGCGCAAGATCTAAAAGATCTGTAGAAGAAATGAAAATTAGAAAGCTGTTGATCGCACAATCATGCACAGTCCATCAGTTGCTACCCCCAACTACGGTCTCTGCCTCTCCATGGGTTCATGTATGCAGTGCCACGACATGTCACGCTCCTGTTAGTTGATACTGATTGTCTCTGTCTGAGAAGGAGCGAACAGAAGACCAAGAAGTCACCCTAGAGGCAAGCATGGTGCAGCATGGCCTGGTATGTACTATCTCTTTCTTAGAAAGTTGCTTGTCGGGTTTCGGGCTGCCTCGTAATTGAGCAGGCAACGATGCGAATGCATGCGCAGATCCTGCAGGCTGGGGTAATGGCACATGATGGGGGGGAATACGGGCAGCCGATCAGTATCCTCTGGTAGGAGCAACGTGAACACTACGAGAGCATGCTCGAGGACGACGGATTTTGCACGTTGATGCGACTTGTGGTGCCCGCTTCTGCATAATATCTCCGTATGAAGGAGCTTAAAGAAGTGCAAAAAGCCACCCTGGAGGCTAGTGGCCATTATGGCACCGCATGACCTGTCTATTTTTTTGTCGCAATATATCGCAGTATATTCAATATATAGTGACAAGCAGGCAGCGCTGCGAGCGCATGCGCAGAGTTTGCAGGCTGGGGCCGTGGCATGCGGGTGGGAGCACGGGCAGCGTGTCAGTAGAGCTGCGCTATTTTTCGTGTCTCTGGCAGGAGCAGCGGGAGCAACATGAGGCTATGCTCGAGGACGACGGAGCATGTACGTTATTTCAACTTGCGGTGCCCGCTTCTGCATAAGATCTCCGTATGAAGGAGCTTAAAGAAGTGCAAGAAGCCACCCTGGAGGCTAGTGACCAACATGGCACCGCATGGCTTGTCTATTTCTTGGACGTTGATTTGTCGCAGTATATCGCAGCATATTCAGTATACAATGACAAGCAGGCAGCGCTGCGAACACACGCGCAGATCTTGCAGGCTGGGGCCGTGGCATGCGGGCGGGAGCACGGGTAGGCCTGCGCTGTTTGTCGTCCCTCCGGCAGGAGCAGCGTGAGCAACATGAGGGTATGCTCGAGGACGGGGGAGCAGCTTCTTGTAGAATGCGGTTCCTGCGGTGCTTTGACTCATGGCAGGTAGAGCGTCGTCGCGCAGAGCAGGCTGAGGCGCGACTTCCCGAATCCCGTCCTTTGCAGGCCGGCATGAGAGGATCGTGACCGCAATGCAGGCGAAACTGGCCATGGCCGAGACGGCGCAGGAAGAGGCAGACGCTGCACGTCAGCATAATCTATCTGCACCATTCTGCTTAGCCCTCTGCCCCATCCGCGAAAGCAACCAAAAGCTGCACACCAACCGTCCAAACCCCACCTTATCAGTGCAAGCAATCTCTCGCACGCCCCATCAGCATAAGCACCCTGTAATGCGAACCGGAGCGGGGGAGGGGTGGGGGGTTGTCAGACCAAAGTGCCTACCCGACCGGGTTTGTAGAGCCCAAACCAGTGGTTCGGCAAAGTAGGGTTTCGCATCGCAGGGTTTTAGAGTAGATAGACGGAGGGGGGTGTGGCAAAGCAGAGTTGTCCCACCCTCCACCACCCACATCAGCGGTACGCAACCGGGCCTAAGATCCGCCCCCCTGCCCTCCCGGTCGGTTTGGAACGCGCGAAACCGGGACTCGAGTAAGCCAAGCCTCAACTCAAGCGGGCCCTGGTTTGAGGACGAGCCACGAAACCCGGCAATGCTCGCTCTGGAGGCGTTGCAAACCACGCGTGGTAGTCGCGTCCGATCATTTGGGAACTTCAAAAGGCCCCATGTCTGGAAGAAAACCCACTCAAACCCTCACAACCTGCACTCGGAACCCAATCCCGGCTGCATTTCGAAATTTTCCACCCCTTGGCACAGATCTTCCCGGCAATAGCCGGTTTCCACCTATGCTAGCCGCCCGGATGTTGAGCTAAACACGCGGTCTCGCTGAGTACATATATGTATGCAGGCTGAGATACAGCGCGGTACCGAAAGAAACATCCGCAGAATGTACCTGCCACTCATGTCAGTTGACTACATCTCACCACCTGGAGAAGCAGCGAGAGACATGTGCGCGGATGCCCTTTGTTGGATGCTGGATGTGCATGGTTGACCACCACAGTCGATGGTCCTGCTTCGATCGGGAAATATCGGGAACAAAGGCCCAGAGGATCCGCAACAAAAAGCGTAAACTAAGCAGCTGTTCA